GGGGCCCCCCCCCTCCCCAGGTGCCAGGGGGGGGGGTTGGGGGGGGGGGTCGTGGAGGGGCATAGAGAGACGCCAACCTACCGTCTCATAAAACTGCACCTGCTGCTCCAGGTACAGGCGGATGACGCTGTTGTAGTCGTAGATCCGGTTACTGTGGAAGTGGTTCATCTCCGCTACAAGGGAAACCAGCACAGCCGTCAGCTCCCAGAGTGCAAGTGACAATGCCTGGGTGCTCTCTGGCACCATCCCCGTGGTCCAGACCTCGCTGGGCTGGCTTCCAGGCAGTGCCGTTGGTGGCAGATCCCTGGGGGAAGAGGCTGGAGAAAGGAGCTGGTGGCTGATGGCAAACACCCCTTCCCAGTAAAAGGATGGGGGCCACTGACACGCACTTAACCCCGTGAGTTCCAAAGTGATGATCGCGCAGCGTGGACTGGTATTCTAACAGAGCTCATCCCACAGGAAACAGCCTCGGCAGCTCTCCCGATGCCAGTGGCTCAACAACGCAGTGTGTGTGTCGGGCCCAGCAAGGCCTGGGGTGTGGGCCCTCCCCTTTTGCTGAGGCCACAGGAACCCAGCGGAGGGCTGACCTCCTTGCCCTGTGCCGACTGCCCCAACATCCTCCTCTTGCTGCCCGCAGCCCCCCTTCACTCTCCGGAGGAGGCCCTCCGTGGAACTCCTCACCCTCGCCTGCTCCTCTCTGCCCAGGCCTAGAGAGCTCGCTGGTGGATGCTGACAGTGTGTGTGATGTTATCTGAGGTTGCACAAAGCTTCTATTTACTGACTTGATAACCTCAAACCCAAGTTCAAAACCAAATCTCCTGTATCAAAAGCCTCCAAAACCCATTTGCAATCAGGTTTCCTGTATTTGTCACGAGTGGCCTTAACTCTGGTATTTGCACATTTTCTTCTCTCATGCATCCTCCGATCCTGAAGACTGTTCCTTGGAAAAGCCTGCAAACACGTTTCCGCCTCTTCTCCCCAGAACTGTGTCTTTTTTAGGTCCTCAAAACTCTCAGACCACAAGAGCGAGGTCTTCTGTGGGTTCTCAGGCTAGCGCGTGCCTGACCTTCCCCAGTCTCTCAAGCCCTTCCCCTTGAAGACCTCCCCACGTCCACCTGAACCTTGCGAGGGGTGCATTGTGCTCAGCTCAGTCTAGACTCTCCTGCGGGGTTTCCTGGTTCTCCGAAATCCCCCGACTTTATTTCTCAATAACCTGCCAATGGGCTTTGCTACTCTGAGCCAGTGGCTCTCTTGGGCACCGCTGTTGTGTGTGCTTTTGTTGCACTGGAACCCTCCCCTTTGCTCTGTCACCGTGCACCAGCCACCCAGCCGCAAAGACCGGAGAGAGCCACTGCTCTTGTCTGTGCTAAAACGCTCGAGCTATGAAAACGAAGCAACACCTTCTTTTTACCAGTAGTCACAGTATGCTGAGGACCAAACACCCAGTCCCCTTTCTTCTCCAGCCCTGGGCATGAAGGGTAGAGACTGTGACATGCAGGGTTATAAAAGGAATCTTGATGTCGCTAAGAAATAATAAAATGCACAGGCTTGATCAAGCTGTCACAGTAATGGTTCTATCAGGTGAATGTGTAAAAAATTAAATATATATTGCAGATTTTCATTAGCACTGGAATCCTGAGCATATAGGCTTCTGGGGGTACTTTAAACTAGCTCTTTATTTTTTTAAACCTTTATTTTAAGAAAATTCGCCAGAGGGTGCATACATTTGCTAGAGAGGAGGGCAGAGGGATGGGGGATGACAAGTGAGAGAGCACCCCCTGCCCCCGGAGATGGTCACACTGCAACCTCTTCTTTCCATTTCTCCCTCCTCTCAGGACTTTGGACACACATGCACAAGTGCCTAGCTTGTTTATAAAGCTGCCGGGCCTGGGACTCAAACCATGGCATTGGGCATGTGGGGCCTGGCCTTGGCCGCCATGCCACTGGCTAGGCCAGCTCTTTCTTTAACTGCTGTTTGCCTTTGGACTTCTCTCCAGGAAGGGCACCTTTCTCCTCCAGCCACTCATAACGCTTTCACCTTACCTTGCAGCGCGTAAGACATGGTGCCCACTCGCTTCACCATGTTCTGCTTGTCTTGTGGAGTGATCTTACTGGCTGCAACTAATTTATCACTTTCTTTCACTTTTTCAATTGCTCCCTGAGAAATAGAAAATGCAACCGTATGAACAAAACACAGCTAAGAGGATCAGTCATTAGTTTAAAATATAATGATGCTGACATACTCAGTCTCCAGAATGGAACGAGAGAGGCACCTACATCTAAGTCCCATGGAAGCTACTCTTTAAACATGTACCTGGGCCACGATCTACTGTCCTGTGCTACGAGAGAAGAGCAGCTCGGACAGCACGCCCTCTAACATGTGTGAGCCCTGCATGGGAGAGTGGGCGCCACAGGGACAGGCCCCGGTCACAGGGCAGTGTAGTGTCTGCACGCGGGTGCCCTCTCCGCCTCTTCCCACTGAGAACGGCCTCTATCAGCGGGTGCTTCAGCGTGCTGGGGGAAGGCCTGGGCTGCGTCTCTGACTAGTGAGAGGCACTGGAACAACTTAATGCTTGCTCGGAAGTCGCTGTCCACGCTGCCACACATTTGCCCCCCAACATCATCACACTGCCGTGACTTGGGGCCCTCTGGGAAGAAATGGTCCACCCTCATGAATAAATTAGGCTCCGCGTGTGAACTGGAACCCTGTGGGCATAAATTCCTACCAAGTGTGAACGGTTCTGAGTTTTATGTTACCTGAAGTACAAAGCTCCTTCTTTACCTATGCTCTCCTTTCACAATATATGAGGAAGCCGATGCTGAAAGAGCCACCAGCCTTCTGATTTCCTAAGATACCCGACTTCCTCCCGCTACGATGGATAGAGACAGCACACGGAGCTTGGGAAAGGGAGAGTAAGCCAGAGTAAGAAGGTCAGGAACCCCAGCCAATTTTTTACTGAGTGGTTTACAAACCTTTCTGATGGGAATGACGGAGTTTATCATTAGTAAGGCTAAACTTATGATCCACCTGGGGCCATCTTACATTAAGTGTCTGCGATCAAGTTACCTTGTGAGTGCCGATAATCTCAGGGAAGCAGCCCAGAAAGCCCTTGTACTCGTGATTGCATTCCATCAGGAAATGGAGATCTTTCTTTGGCTACAAGACACAAGCCAGTTGTTACTGACAGAGGAATTCAGAAATTCAAAGACAAGAGCACTGATATATCTGAGGGTGGTGTTAACCAAGCCAGTCCAAGCAATTTTCCTAAAAGGAAACAATCTCGGGCCAGCCCGTGGTGTGGGTAAGGTGGCTGGGTCCCACATAGCAGAGTGCCCAGTTCGAGTCCCAGACCTAGTGGCTTGAGAAACACACTGGCTGCATGCGCACATGTGTGCCCAAAATCGTGAGGAGAGAGAGAGATGGAGGAGAAGGGATTGCTGTGAGACCATTCCCCAAAGGAGTGCTTTCTCACCAACCTCCCCCACCATCATGCCCTCTGGCAAAATTTCAAAAAGAAAATTCTCTTTATGTGCTTGATTGAGCCAATACACAGTGCACTCTGGATGGAAAATCTCATTTTGTATGCTGTAATCATGTACAATGTATGAATGTAAATAAATAAATTCAAATTAAAAAAGACTACTATAATCTGAATCATGAATCATAAATAAATAATAAAACATTACATAACGTTCTTTGTAAAATTAGCGTGCCCAAAACACACCACAAGTGAAACACTTGGTCAGTACTATTTGTTGACATACAAGTAAGTTGTCATAGATTAACATCCACATCTTATAAGCAAATATAAAATATTATTTAAAAATCTAGTAATAACTTTTAGTGGCAACTTCAAATTTTTCATTTTATGAATTATAATTACAATTTTTTTCCTAAGGTTTCTGCCATAGGGTACATGTGATCACCAGAGAGAGAGAGAGAGAGACAGTGAGAGGAAAAGTGAAAAATCACACCCCAGGGGGGATGGCCACACTGCAATCCCTTCTCCTCCTTCCTCCTCCTGGGATTTTAGGGATGCACACACATGCACCCTCCCAATCTGCCAGGCCTGGGACTTGAACTGTGGTCAGCCATGTGGAAGTTCAGCACCTTAACCACCACTCCATCTGTTTGCCCTTTGAAATATAATTTTTAACAGCTATGTTACAGTTCTAAAAATTAGTGTTTTTTTTGGAGAGGTTTTTAGCTATAGGGTACGTGCGCTCGCCAGACAGACAGAGAGAGACAGAGAGACAGAAAGCAAGAAATCACCCCCCAGGGGGGATGGTCACCCTGCAATCCCTTCTCCTCCATTCTCCTCTCGGGAACTTGGGCACGCACGCACACGCGCCCGGCGTGAGGTTTAAGCCACCGGGTCCGGGACGCGAACTGCGGTCGACTATGTGGGAGTCCAGCGACATAGCCATTACGCTAACTACTGGTTCCCTAAAAATTAGTGTTTTTTGCAAGTGCTGGCAAAGATTGGATCGTCGGGAAAGTTTTGACACATTTCTGCATATAAAAACACGACATGACTTTCCCGATGATCTAACAGTTAATGATGACATCACTGTGTGTGGGGGGTGTACATCCATAAACACATTTCAAACAAGTTGTATTTTTTTTTTCCAAGAATTATTTTACTTAACTTTATTTATTTTATTTATTTTAATGTGACCAGAGAGGGACAGAGCAAGAGAGCGAGAATGAGGGAAAGTGAGAAAGCAAGATGCCAGTTCCGGGACTCAAACCACCACAGTCATTTGTGTGGGAGTCCAGCACCCTTAACCACCATGGCACCTGCCGACCCCAGTATTTTTTTTCCCCTAAATGTAAGATTTGAAATTTGGATAGCTAGTCTCCTTAAAGGCCCTTATGATTGTATTTGTAAAAACAGAAGGAATCGAAGCTATGAAGACTCTAATAAAAGCTCCTTGGGCCATAACAAAGACCTGCTCTGTGCCTGGACTGTAGCAGGTGTCTTTGAAGAAATAATATTTACATAGCCTTATTAACAGCAGGTGCTTTTTATTTATCAGTTATAAAACCCTGAGACCCACACGGAGGCTGATGAACAGTCCAAACAGATAGGGCCAGTGTCCTTCCTGTGTGTCACGCGCTCTCGGTGAATGGGTCGGAGGATCGATACCTGATACCTGATCAGGGCGGTATTCTTCCCCGTGTGTCACAAGCCCAGAATTGATACCTGAAGGCAATCAGTTAAATTTCCTGGGGACAAATTTATGCATATACTTCGGCTTAACCTAAGAAAATAACTATCAAAACAATTAACAAAGATATATAGAAACAGAATAGGAGAGGATATCTGTGTGGGAAGTTTGTCCTACAGCAGGCTGTAACCGGAGTAAGTGGGCTAGACGGCACAAAGTCGTTATGTTAGTACCTGCTCTGCCACGAGACTGGCAATTTCTTCGTAAGTCTTTCCTGCTTCTGTTATTGCATCGTTGAGATCTGTTTCACCTGAAAATGATTAGGTTCATCAGTGTTTATGTCATAAATATGTCTTTTCACTTATTTCCTTAAATTTTAACTATAGATTTTATTGGTAAATTTTATTATGGAAAATGTCAAACATTTTGAAAACCAGGGAAAAAAGAATAATGAATTCTTAAATACCCATCACCTCACTTCCCAACAGGCAGCTCACAGACAACTGTTTTTTATCTATACCTACCCAGCCCTCCCTTCTCCTTTCACTGGATATTTAACATTTCATTCATCAATTTTATCCAAAAGACAAGAATTATTTTTTTCTAAAATAATTATTTTATTTTATTTATTTACTTTAACTTGACCAGAGAAGGGAAGAGGAAGAGAGAGAGAGAGAAAGTAAGAAAGCGAGCTGCCAGGTCCAGGACTTGAACCACAGTCAGCCATGAGGGAGTCCAGCGCCCTTAACCACCATACCACCTGTTGGTCCCTAGAAGACAAGAATTCTTAAAAAGATAAGAACAATACCTGTACCACACCTAAAAAAAGACCACTGCTCTGATATAAATGAACCAGTCAGAATGCAGCTCCATCATCTCAGAGAAAGCGGGGCTGGTGCCATGGTGCAGTGGATAAGTGCTATGCAAAGGAAGCTGGATTCCATGTGGATGACCAGGGTTTGAGTCCTAGTTCCGGGGACCTGATAAATGCCTGTAGAGCTGATTCTATCTTTTCTGTACATGATAGGAGACAGTCAGCCTCGACCTGCTTTTTCCTTTTTATGAAGGAAAGAGCTAGCTTGCTCTCATAAGTGTTGCCGATGTACAAACAATGAACTGTCAGTATCACAGATTTATGGGATAACTTGAACATAATTATGTGGTAAGGAAAGACTTAAGGCAACACGCACTTGTTACTTAGTCAAACATTTTTCCTTCAAATGACTGACAAAATCTGGTCCTTGTAACAGGAAGACTCACGGAGGTTGGCAGAGAAAAAATGAAGGGGAAGTGCTACGTCCCGCAGCCGCCTGTTAAACTGAAGCAGAAGAACGCTATCCGAGGGCAAGGCAGACTGGCTAGCAAGAAAGTGCAAACCACAACCACCCTCCACTCTTCTCACACCCTCAGGGCTGCAAAAGGCAGGGTGCAGAGCCTGGGAAGCTCACTGCAGAGTCAGTCTGTGTGCGAGGGGATGCTGCCGGGGCCACAGGGCTGGGTAGGACACGAAGGCCTATGAATAAATAAACAATAAAGAAAGAAAGCCGCACCTTGATAACCGCTGGAACTAAACACGGTGGCTAAGCTCTGCAAGGCCTTTCCTATCTTCTGATACTCCTTGGGTAATGCTGCAAGAGAAGGAAAAAATATTAACTAGTCCTGTGAGAAAACTGAAGTAGGAATCAACCATTCTCTCTCTTTTTTTGCATTGTTACATTTCCATTCATTTAATTACTAAATATTTATTGAGTATTTGCTATATTCCAGGCAAAAGAGATAGAACGAAACGATCTGTCCAGAGGTACTTTTAGCTCCCTCAGCAATGCCCGAGTTCTCATTATAAAAAATCCATTCTGCTAAGTTGGCATCCACTGATTCTTTGGTTAATCGTCATGTACAGTTTTCTCAAGTGTCCCTTCAAATACTGCATAATGCCATTACGTATTCCAAACATCGTCTGAAAGAGCAGAGGAATCACCACTGCCTTCATCTCTGCTTGACAAAGCAGTAGACAATGGAGTAAAACCCTCCCTTCCGGTGGCAGTGGAACAGCATGACACTTGAATGCCAGATGCCCGTTTTTAGAAAAAGTCAAAGCACAGAGATATAAACAACCACAAATGATGCCAGTGAGCTTTGCAGAACACAATTTCCTTGCTTATATTACCTGAATACAAAGCATCAGTCACAGGGAGCTTATAAGAAACCATACAGACAAAAATGGGAGCGTGGTCAATGATGCATATGTCTTGAAAGCCTCATGTTTAACCTTGAAGCAGTGTCGGAAAACGAGGTTTGCCATTATTCCAGAGACACTAGCTGTGGTTCCAAAGAGCACTGTCCTGCGTGTGTCTAAGATCTGTGCGTGTTTCTCCAGTTCCCACCGGCATACCCGCATCCCTCAGGTCAGACCCAGCTGCATGTCTGAGCGCCGCCACCTTGGCAGCCCTGGGAGTCAACCATTTTCTAAAAGTGATTATGTTATAAGAAAAGATATTTGAAGTCTATATTCTCCAATACTGACACAAAATCGTTTGTTTGCCTCCCCCCCCCCAAATTCTTTCAATCAATTGTTTTCAACTGAGTTAATCGGCTGTTCAGCTAACGGTGAGGCCTTTATTAGCCACCACCCATATTCTCATTCACTGAATGAAAGGCAGGTGAAAGGAAAGCCCACCTGGGTGACTGTGAGCAGCAGTCTACACCAAGCGCATGTGCAAACCCCCCCCCCACACACACACACTCATCACATCATCTTGGTCCTGATGCAGAGATGCTCTCTCTGCACACACCCACAAGGCCACCTCCCTGCCATGGTCCTCCCAGTCCGACTCTGTGGTCCACTTCCTACCTCCAACGATGCTGGTTTTCAAAAAAAAACAAGCCATGGCTTTAGTCGAATATACTTCATCGAATGGATGGAAAGTAAAATCATGCAATTAAAAGTAAAATAATGAGATTGGGACCAGAAGCTGTTATAATGGCTATGTCGCCGAACTCCCATGTAGTCGACCGCGGTTCGAGTCTTGGACCCAGTGGCTTAAACTCATGCTGGGCTTGTGTATGTGTGCACCCAAGATCTGAGAGGAAAATGGGGGAGAAGGGATTGTGCCATGGCCAAGGCCTCGAGGGGTGATTTCTCCCTTTCTTTGTCTCTCTGTCTTTCTGGTGAGCGCAAGCGCCCTATAGCAAAAACCTCTCCCCCCCAAAAAAAGTAAAATAATGAGATTAAAAGTAATCACAAGCACTCTCTAAACACACAACAAAGATTAATATTCCAATGGTCAAAAAGCCCTGGAAGACTGGAGCTACTTAAACTGCTAGGGCCTTTCTTATGCGAGTCCTGAGCAGGCTTTGTTAGTCACTTCTCTGTTGTCACAAGAGGGTGGAGAGGTGAGGTGAGGCAGAGTTACAGTGACTGCTGCAGCTCCAAGGGTCTCTTTTTAACTTTTTTTTTTTTTTTTAAGAATTATTTTATTTTAACTTTATTTATTTTACTTTGACTAGAGAGGGACAGAGAGAGGGACAGTGAGAAAGCAAGCTGCCAGGTCTGGGACTCAAACCATGGTTGGACATGTGGGAGTCTAGCACCCTTAACCACCACACCACCTGCCTGGGGTCTCTTTTACTAGAGGCGGAGGTTCCCCACCATCCTAGGACCAAGGTCACCGAACGAGGCTGGCACTCACGTCCTGTGCACCGCTTCCAGTGCTCCTGCCCCACGGTCAGCAGCTCCTTCACGCCATCGTCCATGGCCTTGGTGAACTTCCCGACAGCATCGCACTTCTGCTCTCTGCGGGCGAGGACAGCCACCGGTCAGCCCACAGGGGGAGCAGCCATTGTCGGGGGAACTCGGACCAGACGGAACCCTGGCTATGTGTTTTCTCACATTCTAACAACTGCCCTTTAAGTTAGTCTTAAAAACAGGCTTGGTTCAGGTTGTTGAAGAACTACTTAAACTACTTTCATATTTACATAGTTATATATATATTTAATTTATGGAGTTTATATGTATATAAAGGTATATATATGTACACACTTATTTAACTTTGCTTCTTTCCTCTTGAATTGCTTGTGAATGTTAACTAAAATTATTCTAAAGTAAACAAAAATAATGATTTCTTAAATTTCTTACTTAGTGAAACTGCAATCACTGAAGTACCATCAAATCCACAAACCAGTGAGAAGTCAGCAAATGGTGGTTGCCCGCTCGTCCCGGCAGGTACTCGAGTGACGCTCAGACCACCACTTGGACATCCCACACTGAGTGACAGGAGGACACCAGCTCTCTACAGATGTGAGGAGTACACTTACCGACCTGCCAAGATCGTCACAGTACACGGCTGAATGAAAAGGCAGGTTATAAACCATTCTGTGTAGTGCGCGGTCAGTTCTGTCTAAACGAGCTGCGTTTCCCGACTGCATGTGTACAGAGGCGGGTGTGGAAAACTGACCAGCGCGAGAGCACTGGTTCCTCTCTGGGCAGCTGGGAGATGCTGTGTCTGTGTTCCTATTTTTCGTAACACATTAGCAATGACTGGCAATAAGAAAAAAGTTCTTAAAAATAGAAAAAAAAAAAAAACAAGCTTTCTTATTAATCCTTATACAGAAAAAAAGGCTAGTCCAGAATGTCAACTGTGTATATTTTTAAAAAAGATTGAATAATTGAAAACAATAGATTAAAGAAAGGTACGGAAAAAGCAGGTTTAGAGATTGCTTCCCTCAAGGCAACATTAAGAGATGTTCTTTTTGCTTTGTTAAATGCTATGAGAAAGTTCTGTGCTAATTTGTTTCCTCCAACTTTACTGGAAATAATCACTAAACATTGTGTCAATTCTGAGATCACTGGCTTCAGGGTAGAAGGAGAGACTTTACTGTGATCCCAGACCTGGTCTGGTTTGATGGTTACGAAGACAGAAGACAGTACGGCTCTGGACAAACGGGGTCTCTGTCAGCTGGCGGCAAGGCCCGCTCACGTCCTCAGCCCCGTCTGACCATGTGCATTCCCACTGCAGCTCTACCGCTGAGACCTGGAAGCCAAAGAACACGGACACAGGGCAGGGAAGAGGAAAGCTTGAAGCAGCGCTTACATTTCCACTAAGTCCAGGTCAGGGGCCTCTGGTTCCATGGTGGCGAATATCATCACTCCCGCCAGCTCATCTTTCTCGGCCTTCCGCTTTCCGGTTTTCCATTCCTGTAAGTGAGCGCACTGAAATGTTAGTGTGCAGAGAGCACGCCCGCAAGCATGCCGAACGTCCCTAAACCCGCCGGGCCTCTGTAAGGAGTGTGGCAAGCACCAGCCTCACAAAGTGACAGTACAGAAAGGGCAAGGATTCTCCGTGTGCTCAGGGAGGGCGGCGTTGTGACAGGAAGCAGAGTGGCTATGGTGGACAGACTAAGCCTATTTCCGGAAGAAGGCAAAAACCACAAAGAAGGTTGTGCTGAGGCTTGAACGTGTTGAGCCCACCTGCAGATCTGAGAGCATGCTGGCTAGTAAGAGGTGGGAACGTTTGAACCGGGAGGAGATAAGACGAGAAAGGGTCACGGGATCCAGTTCTAAGCTCATCTTTTCTGTTACGAAGATGACAAAATCTTGAGGTGAATGTTCACCTCGTTTGATGACAGCTGGTCTATTGTGAGGGAATAAAGTAATCAATACAATTCCCCTTTCGGGGAAATTTGATTCATGGTAGAAATAAAAAATGTTACAGCGGACAGGAGGGTCAGACTGGTCTCTTGCAACTCCCTAACTGGATCAGCTCTTTTAGCAAGCGGCTTCTACTCCATCTCTCTCTGCTCCGGGATGCGACACCTCCCCACCTAACAGGGAAGCTCGGGGCACACACAGCATCGCTGCGCAGGGCGGCCCTCAGAGACCACGTCTCCTGAGAGCGAGCGGATGCCACTGCACACCTTCCCGACGGCTGCTGCTCCAGCGAGTGCAAACCCATCCTGGGAACTCTGACAGGCTGTTTTGAATTTTTAGGTCAACACTTTTCCAAAACACAAGACAGGAACCAATGTTATGAGCTCTTTTTATTATTTTAAAAGAGAGAGACTGCCCAAAGTGAAGATCAAGCACTGATTTCACAGTGCATACCTGTCAGATACCAAGACCAAGAAAGGGAAAAGGGCCGGCATTCCAGAAGCCCCCTCAGGTCCCTTCCCAATCACTGAGACCCCTGTGCGCCTTCACAAAGGTAACCATCATCCTCTTCTACGGTTTTCAGCCCCTCGCTTTCTGCTACGGTTTACATGGCTGTTCTCCACAATTCAGCACATGCCGAAACTTAACGGCCAATGTGGTGGCAGTAAGAGGTGGGGCCTTGGAGAAGCGATTAGGTCACGAAGGCTCCTCCCTAGTGAATGGGATCAGGCCCGTATAAAAGGCCTCGCAGACACAACTGCAGCTCCGTGTGCTCTTCCAACCACTCCGACGTGAGGACACAAGTGTTCTTCCCCTCCAGAAGATGCAGCCCTTGCCAGTCATCAATCGCTAGTGCCCTGATCTTCGACTCGCAGCCTCCATACAAGTGAGAAATAAATGTCTGCTCTTTCTAAGTTGCCCAGTCTCGGGCATTCTGTTATAGCAGCACAGATGGACTAAAACATTTTCTTAAGAGTTTACTACCGGGACCAGCAGATGGCATAATGGCTACATCGCTGGGCTCCCATGTAGTCGACCGTGGTTTGAGTCCTGGACCTGGTGGCTTTAACTCACGCAGAGCGCGTGTGCGTGTGTGCCTCAGATCCCAAGAGGAGAATGGAGGAGAAGCGATTGCGGTGTGGCCATCCCCCCCCCCCCCCCGGGGGGGTG